TGATTTATTTATTTCTTTACCTTTTCATTCTACAAATGCTGAATTATAAAATGCAAGATTAAACTATTTACATGATGAGAAAATTTGACTGACAAGGATATCTACAAGTACTATTCTTATCAGAAACGCTCACATACGAGCGGACAGTTCCGACGGTCCATATGCTAAAAGGAGGGTAAATTGATAATTTGCACCACAAAAAAACCCTTTTACTGGCTCAGAAGAACCCGCCGCATGCAAGTGGTTCTAAGAGGATGTGTGGTCAGAGTCTACACAATGATATCATAAGTCATAAGTTCAATGTAAATTTGACATCTATCAAAATTTTCCTTCATCTAGAGGAGATGGGGGAACTATCCATAATATTGGTCAAAAAATTATCAAAAAAAAAACATTAATTTTGAAGAAGAATAAAGAAAATTGTCCTTATACCCCTAGCATATAATCCTAGACTAAACTCCTCAATCATAAAAACAAAATCTTTATTGGCTATTGGAATTCTTTCTTTCTTTTTTTATATATATAACCTTTGTAATCCTTCTCATCAGGTATTTTAATAGAGGAAACATTCATATTAGATCGACGAATAAAACAAATATTCCATCTCTAGCTACGAATTTATGGGCTCCCACTGACATATGAATAATAATAGTGATCTATGCAAAGTCTTGAACTTCTCATTGGATATACTCGTATGGAAGTTCAAGGCCTGCATCTTGCTTGGTTTTTTAATGAAAGTTGGGAAATGACTTCATTTCGATCCGCATTATTCATTTGTTCGCATTGTCTTTAACTTTCATGAGGCGAATATATAAGCATCTCAATGACTATGTAATTAAGCTTAACCCCTTTTTCAACTGAATTAAATATAACATTTACGGAAGTAATGCTTAATTTGTAAGGAGCCCCATAACTTTGATTGTTTTGCAGATAAATGTCGATTAACTATTTTAATTCCGTTAACTATTTTAATTCCACAAAACCCGCTGATTTTTGAGGGTTTTGCGCATTATTCTTCCAAGTTCTTTATTCCTCTGGAGCCCCTCGAAGTTTTTCTACTTTAGCCACCAAAATAACACGATCAACTCTTAACACATCAAGTGTCAAGTACGTGACCAAAAAAAACGTGAAAATACCCGTACAAATTTTCAAAACCGATCTATTTTTAATTTTATTCCAAAAAAAGACATATTTTAAACTTAATTTTAAAAACAGACTCAGTTGGCTGAAACTGGGTCGGTTTCTGAAAAAAAAAAGTTCCCAAACTTCATGAGAGTTGAAGTCCCGTGAAGTTTTTTATATAACAAAACTTCACGGGACTTCAATTCCCGTGAAGTTTGAGAATTTTTTTTTAAAACCGACACAGTTTCAGCTCAACTGTGTCAGTTTTTAAAATTAAGTTTGAAACGAGTCTTTTTTTTGGGATGGCAAACAAGTTGGTTTTGAAAAGTTGTCCGAAAATACCCCTCACCCGCATAAAAAACTGACGGAAATTAATAAAAGGAAAACTCCTCAGGGGCTGACACCTCATCTGTCCCCCCAGGGGCTGATACCTCACCTGTCCCCTCAGGGGTCCCTTATTTTGGGGTCCCTGTAGCAATACCCTTAATAAAAAAGATAAAATTGCTTTTTTTTAGTGATATTTAAACTCTCGGAAGATCATTTTGCATGGTTAACCTCTAGAAAAAGTTAAAACTTCTCTTTCACCAATTATGAACGCAGCTAATCCTATACGTTTACAACCCTCTCTCTTCAGTAAAAGCTCGGACACAGATGTTTTGTTTGTATGATAGAATTTCGGATGAAGCCAAATTGAAGAGATCAGCACTACAGTTGGTAACTTGAAGATCCATTCTTCATTTAGATACATCGAATGGGAATCCTTTTCCTGTTTTCTAGAAGGAGAAAGGACCTAAAACAGAGGAATAAATATATTCAATTTGTTTTTGGAAACTATGAACTGATGGCATATCTTCTATTTATGAAACTACAGCTTCATGAATTCTTCATGAGACCATTTGGATGGTAAGTTTTGTCATCATGACGGCCTGCGCGAACCTTGAAAAAGAAAAGAAATCTTTAGAAAAGGGATTTCCCCACCAACCCAAAACTAATTTGGATGATGTTAGGAGCCCTGCATGTTTTGTGGGGTTATGGCTTGATCACCCATGGATGTGTAGAAATACACAAATCAATGCAAATTTCTAATTTATTCTCTCTTCTTCATGTTTTGCACTCTCATCTTGGTGGATAAGTTGTTCTTTACTTTCAGTAAGAGGGTGTTTGGTAATTTGAAAGCATGAAAGTTTACTTGTTTATTTTTTTTTAATACAAATGATTTTCGCATCTACGTCACCTTGCAAGTGAAACACAATGTTCGTTTGAGAGCACGGAATATTATGAAAGTAGAAATGTTAAGATGACATAGCAAAATAAAATTTGTTAATGAAAATAATTAAAATTATTTAATTACAAGTAGAGCAAAGTTTTCACTTTCATGCGACTTTACCATTTTTTTTAGGGAGAAGTTAAAATTGCATTGATTAAATTCTATGTACCAACTATTTTGAATATAGCTTTCGTAATCACTTGCGTTCAACCAACCAAACAAACACCTATAAACAGTAAAAAAGTAACTCATTTTTCACTTTTATTTTTCACTCGCATGCAAACAAACACCCCCTAAAACCTTTTCTCATAATAAATAAATTGGGTCTTTGAAAATTCAAAGTAAAAGAAACTAAAGTATGATACATGGCCCCTCCAATTAAGAATATTAACATAAAGATCCCTTTCTTTGACCATATATAGAGTCTGAGAGCTGCGAGTTTAATATAGACCATATAGTGAGTCTAAAACAGAGTCCCATCGCCAACCAAACCCCCCACCCCACCACCAAAAAAAAAAAAAACCCACACTTCAGCATCCCAAAAAAAAAGAAAGAAAAGGTTCATTCTTCAACTGAGGACAACATTGAGAACATGAATAGATCCTGAACTGGTCCACTTCAAAGATTTTTTGCATGCATTGGTAGCTTAAACCTTAGAGATGATATCAACTGTCATTTGCAGCGCAGAACAGCTGTAGGCAACACCTCCCTCATCATTTCATGCAAGTTATTGACCAAACTCTTGCACATATTTTCCTTACTCCATAAATGCTTCCTCCATTTTCCAAAGGGTCCCCGAAGCCAAATGTTTGGCCACCTAAATCATTTGACAGGCTATGTTTTCTTCTCTATTTCTACTGTTTAACCTTATACTATTCAAGCATCCATGAAGTCCACATCCTTTTGTCAAAAATTTGAGAAATCAGATGCACATAAGTTCCAAGTGGGTCAGTCTACTCTCCTGGTTCCTAACAGCTGCCAAAAGTTGCATTATAAGCAACATTCATGTGCAGTATTAACACAGCACAACTTTAGAGCAACATATAGGTAACTGTGCTTACACTGCATTGACACAGGAATATTTACATCAGATCTCTTCTTACTCCAAACGAATAGCAAAATTAGGCATGTTCTCAAGTTTGAATGACTGTATTTTATTGCTACCTTCAAAGTCCATTGTTACAAAATATATTATCCTTGCATCAGCTAACAGCTGCAGGATTACAAGCAGAATACATTGGTGGGCTTCAAGCATGAAAAAATCGAAGTTCTACAATTCCATGGAAAAGCTCATTCCTCGCCAAAAGAGTATCAAAATCTGGCACGAGATGCAGTAATTTGACAACAACAAATCAACGCACATAAACATCTCAACAAACTAATTTCCAGTACTAGATTTAACCTAGCTCCATCTCCGGCGATCTTCTTCTTCGTCAACTGGAAAATACCATGACGGCCGTCTCTTAGAATTGCTCAACCTATAATTCAACAAAACCTCTTCATCTTCAATAGCCCTTGTCGATACCAACACAAGCGCCTTAATAACTGCACCACTTTCCTCGCCAGTAGCTAAACCCCCAGATCGAAACCAAAAACTCCCAAATCTCTTCATTCTGACGCTCTCTTGCCCTCCAAACACTAAATTAGGAATATAAACTCTCATATCTGACTCTGACACTGGAAAATCATAAGGACACACCATTACATTTGGCTCTGCTCCCTTTGGCGGATGGTTCGCAAAATGACCAAATGCAAGAGGATTTCTACGCTCAAGAAGCTCACCGAATCTCCTCCCATCGCTCTCCACTGGCTTACTCAGCATTTTCCAAAACTGATCGGAACCTTGCTTGATATCGTCTGATGGGGTCGTGCTATATTCTAACTCGTAGGAGCCATCCCATAGCTCTCGATTTTCACCACCAAATCCCCAAGGTCGTGCATTGATTACAGTGCCATCATATCTCGTTATCAAATACGAGTTGGTGGCGTCGACTCTTGGGTATCCAGGGATATATCGATAATAAGCTGGTGAGTATATTACACCAGGGTAGATGGCTATAACAGAACCGACATTGGCCTCGCCATTTATGAATAGGCCATTGCCAGCTTCCTTGTGAGGAATTTGTGATGGCTTGATGTCGAGAGTGTAACCCATGCGATCCTTCAAGTGTTGAGACAATTGCTTGCATGTTAATGGTCGTGTTTCAGGGAACTGTTCTGCAAAATAATAACAGATAATTTACAAGGCTACTGATGTCTTTAAATAAGATAAAATACATTAAAGAGAAGTTAAAAGTAAATGCATCTGTTTTATTACAAGAATCACGAGGATCACTAACTAGAGCTGCCTACTATTCCATAAACCTTGGAACACTAGTATTCGATGAACCTTCAAGACGGCTTACACTGACAATCTTATCAGGGAACCAGCATAAGGAACAACTTTTAGGTAGTAAGTACACTGCTACGATACATTGGCAGATCAACATGGTGTCTAGTGGTATCACAGGACGCTATTGAATTGCCTACTTTATTGACATTTTTATTTACTTTTACTTGGATTTACTACTTAGGACAACACTAGAACTACAGCTGGACATCGCTAAGGAGGATAAACTATAAAATTGTCAATGTTAATTACAAATAAAATCATGATAAGTGATACAGGGACATCACTGGATAAAATCCTGGATCCGCCTCTCCAATGAGTGGGACACCTCAAAGCTAAAAGGCAACGAGTAGTACTGCTATAATTAGAGTTGCACCCCAACAATGCAGAAATCAACATATATAATAATTCATCCATGAAATGTGCATGAGAATATGTGTAAGTAAAAAAGATTATAAACAATCAAGAGAACAATAAGATTCAAATAAGAGAAAATGTGTTCCTGTGGAGAAATTTGAAGCAGGAAGGAATTCAACCTGAGATACTTCCAAAGCCCTAAAGAACCCATCCTAAGAGATCTTTCTCCAGGCAAACCCTGCAATACTCATCATAAAAAAAAAACCTTTACCACTGTGCGCCATGACTGCCACTCTGTTTTCTTCTATTGCTAGACTTGATATTTTAAAATATACTCGTGAAATCTCTGTGCGGGTAAGAATTCTAATGCCATTACAAGTTAAATTTGGAGTACTCATGACCTGATGGCTAAGGCTATATAAATTTCTTATGCTAGTACTTAAATAAGTAGTATTGAATTATTGATGCAAGGCCCTCCAATTATTGTTATACCATTGGTTATGATCAGTTAGATATATTTTTGCTAATCATGGGACAGAAACAAATGTAGTCTAATAAATTTGAAAGAGAAACTGCTATGCCATGTTGAGGATGGTCAATTCTAATACATCCTAGTACTTATGCCTAACTCAAACATTAGTGAGGAATTGCCTGGATTCTTCCACCCAATCCTACTATCTCATCGAACATATTACCTTATAATGCTCAATTTAACAATGAATATCCTCCTTCCAATTCAAACCACAACACTACTATTCATGACTTGAAGTTTATTACCTTTTCTTTATCTCTTTGAACAACGAAGATATCAATGCAAGTAAACAAAAATTCTATAAATTGATTAAAAGGGTAAGTGAAGTACAACCATTGTATCTTGCGTGGAGATCAACTCCTGAGAGAACGTGGAACAACTCTATCATCAAATTTTTTTTAATGATGATTTCTTGCTTAGCTAGATTATGCTATTATGGGAATTGATCAATAAGATGGGTGTAGTTTTACCACATTGTACCACCTTGTATCATCCGCATGTCATTGTTTCAGTCCACATATTATGATAACATTTAACTGTTAAAAACAAAGACTCGCAGAACTCAACTTTAGTTCAGTGTAATTGAATTGATCTCTAAAATGTATAAATTTCATTTCATTTAGTTGCTTCGATTTAACTCCTACGAACCTAGTGCCCCATATAACTCACCTGTTAGTAAACGATTAGACTCTAAATTATTAAAAAACTCATAAAATTTTGGTGGTGATTCTATTATTGCAACATTTAGTAATTTCTGAAGTTTTCAATTTGCTGGTTTAGTTCAAATTCAAAGGCAGATCGCCACAACCTCTTTTATATGTGTTCATTACCGTTTTCTACTGGTGTTCTATTTCTTTTCAAATTTTGACGGTCATATATTGCAAGTCCGTCCTTCTAGGTCCTTTACCATCAGAGTTGCATGGGGTTTAGGGTAGAGACCAATGGGCTTGTTGAGTCTAAATTGAGGTCTCGAAAACTTTTGGACAAGGTTCTTAATCCCTGCTGGTCTGAGGTCAGTCCTACTAAGCCATTATAGCCTGCTTATGGGTCTGTTGCATATTGTGTGGGTTTTAAATCTTTTCCATAAAACACTATAAACCTAAATATCAAACAGGTAAAGTTGGAGAATATAAATTGAATGATTAGGTTTCAATTCCTCTGTACGGGTAACTGCCGCCTATTAAAATGCGTGAACTGCACTGATTTAGCTGGCCAAAGAGCCCACAGGCGGTACTGAAGCTAAAGCGTAATTTTGCGTACTGCAAGTAATGGAGTGAGATCTTTCTTTTGTTATGGATTGCTCTTGCTCAGCTTATTAACAATAAGATCTTGCGCAAGCACTCCTCATGCATGGGCAGTGGCAAGAAAAAGATTAAACTAACACAGTAGAATTTTAATGTATGGACAAAAAAGGGAAAAACATATTTTTTTGCTATGCAGCAACTTAAAAAATATAGTTTGCATAAAATAACAAAAGCAATATTAATAAATAGTTAAATACATAATAGCTATCTAGCACAATAATGCGTATCCTCTGGGTCAGATTGTCACAATTACTAACCGGGTTGAGGGATTGATGTTGTTCTGCCAACTGCCAAACCAAGGCCACTACGACGAGGGGCATTTTGGGTATTCGAAACAGCAGGACCAATATTTGGAGTGCCTGTCACATCAGGGCAAAGAATCTCATCCATTAACCCACATATGTCTTTCACTTGAAAATGTATGTTTTCTTGAACCTGCTTTTGTTGATCAGAAAGAGAGGCTTTATTTGCCATTTCAATGATCTCATCTGCATCTTTCTCCTCCACGTTCGCTCCCAAACGATTATAGCTGACATATACAAATGAGAAATAGGAAATCACACTAATCACAATGCAGATTTGGATCTTGATGATAATTAGATTATTCTGATTAGTATAAAACAAAATAAGAACTATTGGCCATGACCGCTTCTCCATTCTATATGATAAATGCTGTGAGAATAGAACAGTCATAACAATGGCAAAAATCGCAAACCAAAATGTAAACAATAAAAATGAGAACTCGAGAAATGAAAATGTTTAAGACAAGTTAACAGTACATTATGTATGCTAATTTCATGCACTTCACAAGTAACCTACCCAATAACGAGATAACAAATAGTGGGGCTTTCTCGATTTTGACAGTCAATTTTGCAAAGAAGTTGCCTTAGAAATTGCAGAACACAAGAAAACCAAATATAGCCTAAGATGATTAACTTTAAATACATCACCTTTCCTTTAGATTAATAGCTATATACTACGAATAAGAAGGGACCTTCCCCTTTTAAAAAGGCCATTTCTGTGCACCATTTGACAATTATACATTCTAAAACTGAGGTTTACTATATTCTGTGCACAATGTCAACGGAAGCACCAAGTCAGATGAGCAAAAGATATAAGCTAAATCTCAGTTTAACAAGATTATTAAGTACAGAACAGAGAAGCAAGGCCCCTATCCTAATTCTTTGCAAGGGGATAATGGCATCATGTCCGCCAACATTAATCAATTATCTAAGGAAAAGTCAGCTCAAGCAATTGCAGAATGCAACAAGTATTAGCTTTCAGAAACAAATTGCCATCATTCTCAAAAATTTGCCAGAATCTATGACTGGCTATAAAAACCTACTTCTTTTTTGATATAATAGTATGTTATAACATATTACTTTTTACACACTAGTAATAGATAGATACTTCTGTAAACTGCTAGAAGAAAATAATTCTTTAGTGCAAACAATATAGGTTATAAGCATGCTACATATGTTTTTCAGTTCACTTTCTGCGCATTGTAATAGATTTGCAGGAATGAATGTGTGAGAAACATTGTATATCATCTCATTCACATTGATGAGCAGATTCATCATGTTCAAATAATCAGGCCAAAAAAATAAGACCTTTATTAGTTATTATTTCAATAATTAATCATGATATTGATGCAAATGGTAGCTTAATTTAATTGTTAAAAAATACAACAAGACATGGAATTATATGGTGAGTTCATGAGCCTAGATCAGGATAGAGCTTTTAGCCTAAAGGAGAACAATAGCACATTACAAATTAAAAGAAACAATATATCAATAATGATACAATAAAAGCAAGCACAAAGTCATTTTAGTTAACATAAACAGATAAATTTAATTTTTGAGGCTTCTCCAATTGAGTTAAAACTTCCAATGTCTCAGATGAAAAATATTTTAGTTCACAGATACAAATATAACATACTAATATTGTTTAATGATATCAACTATCTTGTTCATATATAGCCCGACGTACTAAATTGTAAACCCATTCATCATTGAGTAGAGATTGGAGTCCGGTACTGACCGGCGCTATAGTAGGCTATAACCTCCCTCCCTCCCTCCCTTCCTCCCTCTCTATCTATCTGGTATCAGGCAATTTAACTGTTTAACTCTTTACCTTTGAAAGTAAAAGAGTCAAAAGAATTTCACTAAGGGGCTTATCTGCAACAATAGAACTATAGGGGATTTATTCACAATTGGGCGATACTAAAAAGGGTTTTCCACAATTTACCCATTTCTAAACAATAATTCCTCATATAATATTTCATTGGAGTCTTCGAGCTTGAGTCTAACATTTCTCTCCCTCCCTCCCTCTCTCTATCTAACTGGTAGCAGGCAATATAAATGTTTAACTCTTTATCTCTGAAGGTAGAAGAGTCAAAAAAAATTCAGTAAGGAGCTTACTGCAAAAATATAACTATGTGGGGTTTATTCACAATTGGGCGATACTACAAGGGATCCATCCGCAATTTACCCATTTCTAAACAATCATTCCTTGTATAATATTTCATTGGAGTTTTTGAGCTTGAGTCTAACATTTCTTTCAAAAAATTCTTGAAATTGTTGAATGTGATTATTAATATAAATGTTTTATATATTTTTATGAGAAGAAACAAAAGTGCCTCCCCACGCTCTAGATCATGACTACGCCACTGAAAATGCCCCTTAAATCAATTAATCATCAACTTTGAGACGTTAGTTTATAAATGTAATGTGAAACTGTCAACCTTTTTTCCTCATTATATCCAACAATGATGATTATCTATTGACTTCAGGGGCATTTTTTCTTCAAAGCTAATGATTTGAGAGGTACTTTTGCAAATAGTGAGATTTGAGAGACATTCTTGTAAATACTAATGATTTAAGGGGTATATATATACAAAAACCCATGATAAAAATAAAAGGTACCTTCAGGAGCACTGTCAGGGGCACCTTCCTGAAATAATGTTGTCTACTGGTTCTTCTATGCAATATACCCCAGATTAATTTTTCCTCAATTTGTGAACTCTAAAAGTGTTCTTCCTCCTAAATGATAAAAATGTTGACAGAAGTTTCAAATTAAATTAGGAAATATCATACCATACAAATTTGATTCATTCAAAACTTGATTAAATTGCAACTTTACGACAATTATTTAGCAGGGGGGCTTACCAACCATGCAGGCATCAGAAAAAGAAGGAAAAGATGACATAAGGAGCATGTCAGTCCTACATTCGTATCTCTCTTTTATGAAGGAAGTTGCTCCATAAATAGACGATTCACAAAAGGGCATCCTGAATAAGACACCCTTCTACGTTTTTTAAAATATGAATGCTTTTTCATATGAAGGTTCAAAACTTAAAGAAGCAATGATGTTGTATAATCCAACAAACGAAACTTTCAGACTTGAAAATGGTGAAGAATATAAGTTCACTGTGGAAGTCGTTAAAGAAAAGACAGGGCTGTCAGATGAGAGTGATACTTCGCTGAAGCCTGAGACAGAACTCTAGGAGAGGCATTTTTTGGGGATAAAAGTTTAAGGAAGAAAAGAAAAAGGAGAAGATTGGAGAGAAGGTGCTCAGCCTATATGGATCTTTTAAGGATAAATTGAGGAAATATGTGAATAAGGAGAATGAAGCCGATATTCAAGACTTTGTTCTATTTCTAATTGCTTTCCAGCTCACCATTGTTTGGTTGCCAAATGCCAATTGTCAATTGTCGTACAAATACTTTTATGGTATTTATAACCTTGAAAAATGTCAAAAAGGTGGGTTGGGCAAAACTTATCCATGAATTGGTATGCAAGGGTAGAGTAAAGGCATACACGTATCACAAAAATAATGTGGAGAAGAAAAGGAAGTCGAAAAAAAGAAAAACAGAGTATGTTACATGACCGGGTGCACAACACTACTTGCAGTAGATCCCTTTTGAACTTTTCAATTGTATTTCTTCTTTCTCGACATACTTTGTAGTGTTCTAAACTTTTGTCATGTACAGCGATTTTTAGGTTTGACAGATCCCTTGTGTGTTAAAGAACCAGGAAAGCCGCAAGGCTAAGAATCTACAAAGGCCAGAGGAGAAAGAAATGAATGTTGAGGAGGAGGAGGTAGCACGAAGAGAAAAGAAAAAGAAGAAGCTAATAGAGGAGAAGGTAGGGGGCATGAATCAAGATAGGGCAGAGGGGTAAGTATGTCAATAATGAAGGATTCTTGAAAAAAAAAAGTTTGTTTATGAGTGTATCTTGTTGCTCTAACTGAAAAGCAAAGAACAAAAATTTTAAAAGCACACAGAATTCTTTTAGAAGGTAAATGAGTCATATTTTTATTTTATTTATTTATTTATTTTGACATTAAAGTTTAGCTCTATTCAAAAGACCAGCTTCAGATCAACAAGTGCTCAAAAAGTCATTTGCCAGTTCTTAGCAATTTAAACATTTTCTAAGCTAGACTTTGATGTTTCTTATTCCAACATGTTTTTGTAGCATTCTATAGTGTACATTTTAAGTTTCATGCAGATACATTTTTATTTGACCTAGTGGAGATTATCGATGCAAAAGCATTATTTCTAGTCCTAAATAGTAAATAGTAGCAATGTACTCCATAAATTAGGCATTTAGGCTCCAACTTGTAAGTTTAGAGTTTAATGTGCTGTTCAACTAGCCAAAGGTAGATAAAATGGAATATGCGTGACAATGAAGGAAATTCGCACTTTTAATCAATTGATTATTTTCTTTAAAACTTAACAATTGTTGGACACTACCCTAATTTCTAATTCTGCTCAACTACTCAATTAAACTTCTAAAGAAACTTCCATGACAAGCTTGATATTTTTGCTAAAAAAATATCTACCGCTATCATGCCACACCATAAAAAACCCAAGCACTAAACCAATTCCACCTAGAATTATTATGTATACTAACATCCCCTGATCACAAATTTAGGATGAATACGAAATATAGTACACCAGCTCTTAAGCTTAGCAATAATTCTTTACCTCTCACTTCTTGTTACCCCAATTAATCATATCATTCCATCTTCAAGGTAAGGTAGTCAACTGCTTCCTATATCTATGTCAGCAAACTACACGAGAGCACTCCTTCCCCTATCCGAAATCGGACTGAGAGCTTAATAAAAGGTATCTAAGTCATACTAGTATGGATGATCCTAATAGAAATCTATCTATCAGAAGTTCAACCAATCTCTTTAATTTTGGATCTCTATCATCCCTCATTGTATGTTTATCCTATTCCTCCTCTCTAGAATTCAAGAAAAATTTTCTTTCTTTGTCTAGAAAATACAATTACTTTGTTGGGTGGAATGCAATCAGGCGGACAAGCCGCTTAGCACTAAAAAAGACCGTGAATATCTCTGTCTAGAAAATACAATTACTCTGCTGGGTGGAATGCAATTGGGCGGACAAGTCGTTTAGCATTGAAAAAAGGTGACATTCACAAAAGCATAGATGTCGCAAGGAGAATTTTTTTAATTTGCCAACAACAACGGCAACAGATCGTAGAGTTCTTAAAGAATACATA